AAGATATATTTATGATGTCTGTTAGACTGTAATAAAGATATATTTATGATAAGATTAGGGTCATTTTATTTCTTCCAGACAAAAGAACTCAAATACAACTGTACTGTTGGTCAAGTTTATAAAAACTGACATAGAGAACTGAAATTTACAACAAGGTTAAGCAATCTACAATCTAGTACTGTCATAAGCTGTATTTTAAATGTTTTAATTTAGATGTTTACTAGAGGATTGATAATATTCTGATCTGGAAAATTCGTGCAGTGAGTAGAAGTCAAGTAAGATGTAAACACAAGTAGTCAGTAATGACTGAGCTAATTCTGGAATTCAGTTGAAGTTATTCAGTTAAGTGAGGAGTCAACAAGTATTAAGTTAGAGGTTCAACTCGGAGTGAGTTCAGTGTCAGAAAAATTATTAGTGTTAGACAAGATGGTTATTGTGTCAATTCTGCTATTCATTTGCTTGATCAATTAGCTGTGGAATTCTACTTGCAAGCTTATAAGTAAGCTAGGCCTAAATATACTTAGGAGTTTATGTTGAAAAGATTATGTATTTGGAATCATGCCTACATATGAACATGGCTGAAATAAACATTTATTTTGGAAATAAAGTAGTTTGTTGTCCTTACATGAGCTGGACTAAGCATTATTTTCACCAAATAATCTAAAAGAAATCCATCTTAAGATCAAACACATTACAACAATATTTTCATTCTATTTCTTTTGTCATTATTTAGTTGATATTATGACCTCAAAGTCTCACACATTCATATTTAAATCCAAATTGACTTTTAAATATAACGCTAATGAGACCTTGAAGACTGCAAGAAATAAATTTTAAACCACGGTTATGTTGAATATTATTACGAACAAACACTAAAGTTCCAACTGTTAACATACATAGATTTCTGTTCTCACTTATCTTGTATATACTTCTGATGACACCTTGAAGCAGTATTAATACACATTTAAACCAATTACTGTCTTGCTGACGAAACACAGTATACTGTATTTGTCATAAAAGTTACCTTAAATACACTATTGGTGAGACCTTGAAGTCCCCAGTAAGAACTTCCAATCATCGACGAGCTTACGCACAGCTCCCCTACTTCATCAGTCTTACAGAGATACGGTTGATCACCCACTTTAACAACTGCTACTACAGCTGAAAAAGATAAGTGAAACAAATACTTTTTATTATATTAGATTTCAAATGTTTCTAGAAACTGAATAAGAAAGGAAATATTTCAGAATCCTCCATTAAAGTATGCCAATATTTCATAATTATAATAGATTTTATTTCATAATTAAAACATACAAAACTACTCACAAAAATATGGGCTCTCTTTCAGTCTTGTCTTATAGCAGTAATATATATATAATCTTTAAACTGTGTTATATATATGTACATTAATAGAAATAACCATTTTTTAATACTTTTTTTAGTTGTTGTTGTTGCACCTACTCAATTACTAGTTTTTGAAAGGTTACAAGTTTGGGGTGGGCGGAGAATTTTTCAGGAACTGTTACACAATGAATCTTTGTTTTATAGATTACAATACATTAACACCTATAGTTCAAGTTAAAATTTAACTGCTATATTTCAGGAATACTTGGTTAAAATAGTACCAATAATTAATATTTTCTCTGCCAGGATTTCAGTTTTCCATGTAAGCCTATCATCATACAAGTTTAGTTTTGCAATTCTTCATGTCTTGTAATACAGCAACAGAATTGTAATAAACTGTAGCTCTTCAAAATGGTGCTTGAAAGCTGCCTACAGTTCATAAAATTAGATATTTGCTTGATAATACAGGCGCTTTCTTAAAATGTACAGTACACCGAAAACGTCACACGGAACACATGTGAAAAGTAATGAAGGATAAGAAGTAACTATATTTGTTATTAGCATGGATAAAGGTTTGAAATCCACAAGTGTTAAGGTGTTTTAAGTTTCTTTTACTGACACTTGATAACCAAATAAATGTTTAAGTGTATAAATCTTATAACTGAAATTAACTGAAGGCTCATAGAAAATTGTTACTCATTGGATTTGAATTGTATTTTTGTGTGAAAAAAATTAAAATAGTAAGTACATAAAGAATGGGCAAAGCTTGGGATAACAAGTCACAAAGAAGATATGGACATTACTGTAGAGATCTTGACATATACTATCTAAAAATATAAATTACTTTTTGCCAATTAAAAATACCTTCTGCGAAAGAAATTCCCCACAAGTTCCTACATTCCCTCAGACTTTATGTGCAAAGCAAAGAAGGTTTAGTTAAAATCTATTGATTAAATACAAAAACTAGGGCCTTTTCTCAAAAATACATGTGAAATTCTACTTACCACCAGGCATGACCTGTCCACAGTCTTGCAGAGTGAGAGATGTAAGACTATTTTCTTGATCTACTCGGATAACTCCATAACTTAAAGCTGACATCGACAAGACTCCTCTACCACTAGACCCAGGTCCTGTTCGACCTGGCCTGGAACAGCAAATTATATAAAAATTTGTGAGATAACAGAGTCTTCTCTTATAATTTTCTGTTACAAAACAAGTATTTAAGCTCAACGCGATCTATGACTTCAAGTTCTCTAAGAAACAATCTCTTTATAAATAAATGTTATTTGATAGCAACAATTCCAATCATTGCCTCTTCTTACTCTGCAATAATATGGTTGAATGTATCGTCAAAATGTTTTTAGTTTAAAAGCCTTATATCCAAGATTTCATTGAAAAAGCCTAAATTTTATTATAATTTTTTTTTCATGTGTCAATATAATACGATATAAGAAACACTCTATGTTCATCATAAAGATATAATTTGCCTACACTGAAAATCTATTTTCATCAGAGACTTACTTATACTTACATACATAGCTATTCTTGTTCAGTGCTGCCCTCTATTTGCACAATTTTTTCACATGCCACAAGCCTTTGACTCCCAAATATCCCTCAATTCATGTGGTTTAACTGAATCTCACACACAAATTATCATGTGACAATCCTCCACCAATAGATGCACCCCACACATGTGACTCCCTCTATACAATTCTACTTAAACTATCACTTGAAGTTTAGGCAGAAACCTGAGCACCGGTTGACAGTGGGGAGGAAGGATGGGAAGTATGAGTGAAAGTAAGTACCTGTCAGAAATATATTTTCAGTGTAGGAAAATTATATCTTCCAACAAGGTACCTTACTTCCGCTTTCATACATAGCTAGAATCCAACATTGAATAGGTGGAGGTGAGGGAGAAAGTAGAAAGTGTAGGAAGTACACCCTCATGAGGGAACTCTCTAATAAGAGGATTATATGTGGGAAACTGCACCACTTCTGTACCAGACATACTCTTTGCCCAGATGTAGAAAAAGTGTGACAGATACGGGCAGAAAATTGTGAAGAGCACATCCCAAAGGGAGAGAAAATGGTTGAACAGTAATCCGAACCACAATGTATTATAATTCTAATCTCCCTGATGAACAGAATGTGGATAAAATAAGGGATGTATCGCAAGGTGTAGAGTGTTTAGGGTGCAACTGGCTCTACACAGCATGTCCATTGCATCCAAAACTTGACCTCTGAGAACTAACACCCATGCAGGTGTAGGAACTGTCCAGGTATACTTCATTCACTTAGAATTGTACTCAAATCTGCACTGTAAGACCATGTTGACTTCACTTTTATAATTTCTAAGTCCACTAAATGCACACTGTTCTTTACAAACACACACATATGCTAGAGATGAGGTATTCCACAAGATTGCTCATAGGTTATTCTTCACGATACCTTTGCTTCATGAATATGCCTGTTCCAGACTACTGACCCATGGACTTCATGGGTAAAGCAGAAGAGGATTGCTGCCCATCCCTGCCATTCCTTAGATTGAATAAATCGGTTTTGGTCTACTTTTCAAAAAAGGGTTTTGTGGTCCCCCAATGCACAGTCTCCAGTGTGAACATTCCTCCGGACTCTCCACTATGTTTTTCTACCCCCCATTTCTTCCAGTGGAGTAAGAGAGTCCTTACCACTTTCCAGTTCCAAGTCACTGGGATGGTAGACCATGGAGGTATCCTCCTGAATGAGAGATATACAATATGATCAATAACAATTCCATTCAGTTGAGAGTAGTGTGGTGGCATTTTGCTTGTGTAGTTGACAGATATCTTCTATAAAATGGATGTTGGTTCAGTTTTGTATTTTGAGCTGAACCAATCGCCGTAAGTCCTCACACATGTTCAGGAGGCACCTAGTACCTCACTCATTTTTCTTCGGGTGCACTGCCCTGGTGTTATGGGTGTACTCGTTCATTGCTCCACTTCTTTCTCTTGCACTAACCCTCAAGGTTTTTATGCTGAGGATTTTAGTGTGTTTGAGGTGGCCTGGTCTATTGGATTTGAGTGGAATATATTTGTATTTTGCTCTGCTCACATGCTCTGTTCCCCAATTGCTAGTGGGATTTCTCTCTCTGATTGGCGGAACTTGAAGTGAAGATGGTATGATCATCATCTTTCCTACTCCTGCATGGATATCAATTCCAGCAGTTGGGTTTTGGATTGTGGTTGACTTACCGACAATATGATCCTCACATCACTCACCACAGAGCCCTTTAAAATATATATAATGAAAGAAAGCTTACCCAGTTATAGTCGCACAAAAGTCTGAAGAATGGCAACAGGTGGAAGACAATAACCCGACGAAACAGCAACACGATGCAGATGGTGATAAATGAAAGTACACAAGTAGTCCAAATGCTTGCTTGAAATATTTCCTCCAAAGTATGAGCAGATGAGATGCCAGTTAAAAAGTAAAGTGCCTAATCTGAAGAAAAGACCCTTGGAATAATTGATGGAAAAAAGGAGACCAGGAAAAATAAACTAATCAAATTAAAAGCAGAACCCAATTGGTAAGGGTGGAAGGAGAGAGATTACAAACAGGGGATAGCTGCCAAGAAATGAATAAGCGGGAACAGTTATGATGGAAGAAATCCATGCAGGCAATATAAGAATGAAGAGCACAAACTGGACATAGAAGCCTATTCGGATCAGACCTGGAATAGAGGTGGGAAATGGAAGGAAGGGAAATTGGAAAGAAGGAGTAATTACCCTCCCAAGCTGCTGAAGTCTTGGAAAGGAAATGTCGATCCAGGTAAAGAAGAAGATAATAGGAATGGTACAGAGTACGTGAAACATCAATGGCAAACAAATCTGACCAACAACTTTCACAGGCCAAAAGGAGGAGGAAATACGCCTTAAAGGATAAATTAAACATGGAATAAGAAGACAAAGGTTCAAATGGGGGTTAAGTAAGGCAGCGAAGCACAACACTGACAACCCAATCTGGAAGTCCCGTATGCCATGGAGGTTGACTAATCCAGAAGGAACATAACAATAGTGATAATTTATAGGAGGCAAAACCTTTACAGTGCTGAAGTTTACTGCTGGAAGTTTATCACATGATAATTTGCATGCGAGGTTCAGCTAAACCATATGAACCAAAGGGTATGTAGGAGTTAAAGGCTTGTGGCATGCAAAAACAATTTTGCAAATAGAGGGCAGCACTGAACAAGAATAGCTATGTATGTGAGTGGAAGTAAGGTACCTTGACAAAATGTAATATTTGCTTTTACATTTAATACCTTCTGATGGCCACAGTCAGACACTCTTCAGTGGCTGCACATGGGCAAACAGCATCGGGCCGTAGTCCTCTACTGTGGAACACACTCATAAATTGATCACAAGAAGACAAAGACCCTAAAAAAAAGTTTAGTTTGCTTAATCTCAATAGTACAAACAAAACCATGCCACATCAAACAGAAAAAATAGAAAGCCCTTGGTATTTCTTGATTAGAAGGTTTAGGTTGTGGAGCTCATGAAAAATAAAGGATAGAAATATTTGTGTTAAGCCAGTTTCTCACATTCTTAATCAATAATTCACAGAAGAAATGTTGGATTACATTTGAATACACCAGAGTGCATGAAAAAAATGAAGTGGGTGACCTGAATTATATGTCTTCAGGTCAGAAATATGTTAGCATTGTCTATGAAAGAAACTGTTCCTGGAATACAGCTACACATATTAAGGTGAGATACCCATTTAACACGAGATGTCCATTACACATTTTATCCTTTACTTTCCAGATCTTAATATTAAAGATATGCATTAAACTTCTCTTGATCACTTAGGTCTTCTGTGAAGTTCACTAACTAGGTAATGAAACAAAAACCACTATCTCTGAAATCACAGACTTGATTATATACTATGTCATTTACTTACTTATTATACCAGTTAGTTTATCAAATGTCGCTAATTTTTATTTTTATTTATTGTTTATTATTATTCTTTTGTTATAAAGATTATTTTGCACTGTTAGTTTAAAATTTGTATTAAGGACTAACCTAAATCTCCTAAACTGACCAAGATATTATTAGAATTATGGCCAAAAATATCGTTAACAGCAAGGTTATCCAATTGAGGAAACAATCTATTCAAATATTCATACATAGGATATAAAGAAAAGTATATTTAACTAGGTATAATGACTGCCAGGTTGATTTTTAGTTTTGCTCTAAGTATATAGTTTACTCTAACCAAAAGTTATTGTTATTATTTATTATATACTGAGTGATTTTATGCTTTTATTTGTTACAGCACAAAGCATAAAGAACAACAAACTGACCAAAATCACTCATTATTTATGTAAAATACATGAGAACCCCAACAGTAATTATAGTGGGAACAATTGTAATATCGATGGTATTTTTTGTCAAAAACATTTTGTGGGATTGGTATTGTATTAGGGATCTGTAAACAAAAAACGTCTTGGTGTATAAATAATTTAGAAAAACGTGTTTAAAAATCTGATGTGATTCATATGAACCAATTTAGTAGTTCTAGGGCTAGCAAGCAAAATAGTAAAGATACCAAAAATAGTGGTTTCTTTATCACCTAGCTAGATAGTTTTGAAATGCATGTTTAAAATTTTTCCTTCTTTTCTATCTAATCCACTTTTAGTTAAGGTAATATCTGATATTTTTTAAACTTGCTATATCTCCAAGTGATTAATATTTGGCTAATTGTGCAGAAAGAAAAAAAACAGTTATTTAATCAACAATATATATACTAAATTTTCTACAAGACTGTAAATTACTAAAGTATAAATACACATTTACATATAAAATCTAAAAGAAAAACTGCTAAAAATTACATGGGTTTGATCCGTCAGCCACAAGTAGCATTTTTAAAGAACTAAGATTGACATCTTTGTGGTCCTTCGAAGCCAGTAGACCCCAGTGTAAATCCCGTGATTTGCAGATAGCAGAGGTGGCTATAATTAATAAAATACTGGAATTAGCTAATTATGGTTTAAAATACAAAATATCTAAAACAGACACAACAAATAAATAAAGTTCTACATCATTAGTGCAATGTTTAGTATCCTCAAAGAACAAGCCACCACCCCCACACACACAAAAGTCAAAGACGTTTTGTAAAAGATGTATAATGAACACTTTAATCTACTTAGCTTAAATTTTTTTTTCAAAATGTGATTAAATAACTCAAAGTAATACGAGTAGCATTCATCTATAGACATTATCAAGATGACAGAGCTATACATGAAAACATATGCTATAAATAATGAGGCGATATCAGTAACACAAAAGTTCTTTTCTTACAAAATACTGGAAAGTACCCATACCATGAGGGAAAATTTGTATAAGATACCAAAAGAGTACGAAATATTATCCTCTTACATGATCCCGTAATTAAGTATCAATATAGCCATAAATAGTAATATTTAAAAGTTTAGAAATAATGTTAGGAACAATCCTTTAAAGGTAAATTTTTTACATCTATAAAAACAACAACAAGCTTTGATGTAAACAATAGCGTGCAGGGGGGGGGGGGGGGGGGAAATGTGCCAGGGCCCCGGCATCCATATCGGGAGGGCATCCAACGCAAAGAGTCGAATCGAATAGTAGAACCCTTTCAGCCCTTCCCCAAGGTCTTAGGTACAAGGCCCCGGGCATCATAGAACCTCTGCACGCCACTAGATGTAAAGTAGTAATATTAACACAAGATTCTTCAACTTCAAAGTTAAAACAATTTATCCAAACCTTTGTATTTGGTTATCATTAACATCCAGGATGCTGGGTTAATCTTCATGAGTGAATATGGAATAAATATAACATGCATGCCATTGAAAACACTCTGCAAAAAATAAAATAAAAAGTGTAAATATAAACAGCTAATATTATTATATGTGTGTGTAAAAATTCCCATATACTTTATTCAAATATACATACATTTGTATCTTATAAATTAAAACATATTACACTGCTTTTACAATGAGTAGAGGAAGGAAAAAAATACTTAAGTAAGGATATATTCAGTTGTTATAGTTTATAAAAACTTAAAAAATTACTTATTTTCAAAACCTTAACAAGAAAAAAGTTTCAAAAGTGAAAGACCGTAAAACTGTAAAGGTAACTGATTAAGTCAAATACAGATATTAGCATTATAATAAATAAAGTAAAGAACCTATATCAATCCATGATACTTTCTTTTTTACATTTTCCTCACTGGAGGCGTGCCACTGATATCTTTTAATATCTTTCCACTGATATCTTTTAATTTTTTCTTCACGTGATACTTCCTCATGGTGGAAATATTTAAATAAATTGCATAAAACTTAGAAACAAACTTGCTAAATAAGTACACCGTTTTGGCTTTAAAAAATTCTCGTATTTTGATTTAGGGTGTCTATAATTTTTTTAGATTTTGAAATTTCCAAACTTTTGTTACGAGAGACACTGTTCTCAAAAACTTTCTTTCACTTTCGGTTTTCACATTTTCTCAGTGATGTTCAGAAAGTTCTATTTTATATATCCAGTCAGCTTTAACTTGATTAATGTTTATCAAAATATTCCTTTCAATGTGTTATTCTGCCAATTTCAGTAATCACCAATTCTGGGTATAACTTATAAAAAACACAGCAAAAGCTGACTGATTTAGTGAGTGCCTTGGGTCCAGAACAATTAATATGTGATAAATACAATTTCTTTCCAGTAAATAATAAGTTCTCTATTAAATAAATAGGGGATTTTAGTCATCAGAATATTTGGCCATCATCTACTATACTCACTAAGCCTAAGCTTACCTATCGTCTTGTCATAGAATGAAATTTCTGTAGCTTTCAAACAAATACATGAAACCATTTTTGGGAATAACAAAAATGTCTTAATAAACTATTCTCAAATATTCTACATTCCCTTTAGATTCCTTTGTTCAGCATGCAGGAACTCCATCTTATCAGTTTCTCATTAAACTACAATTTGCTGCTCAAACCACTTTATTTACCATACATTGAAGTAAAAAGCTTATAAGTTGCTCTATCTAATCATATTTAAATATTGCCTGTAGACACTTTCAAAGCTGTGATTTGTTCAGTCCACATGATTTGATATTATAAAAGGTGTCATAACACAAAGACCTATAAATCAGAAACACAGAAGGAAAGATCACATAAGAAATAAGATATGGATAAATACATTCTTAACAGATATAAACTTATTATTTGGGATAAGCAGAGAAATTTAAAATAAATTTATAAATGCATCTCTTCCAGGTGAGTCTCCTCAGAGATGACAGTTATAAGATTTTTTTATTTTTATTTGTAAATTACACTAACTAAATGTTACAAAATGATAAAATATCAATTCTAAAATAATTTTGAGTTAAAAATTGTTCAGATTCAAGTTCCTAATGGCCATGATATGGATTTTACATAATGTTAAAACAGGTCAGTCTAGTACTTACAGTGAGAATACTATGCCACAGACCAACTTCTTTTTTGAAGTCTAGAACACACACCATTACTTCTCCTATAAAAAACAGAAAAATATCACACCAACAAATTTATAAAAAATCTGTCATCAAAACCTTAATAAATAATTTAAAAAAAATTATCCAGTTTTAGATTAACAATTTAAAATTAAATGGTTAAACCTTTGGACTGAACATTTTGACATGCATATCAATAAATAATATTTTACAAGGTCATTTAAATGCCCATTGAAGGAACTTACAGATATATAGTGGATGCTGCTTATTGCGATCACAGATAATGAAATCAGAATTACTAAGTCCTGACCAAACGTATAAAAATACATAGGAAAAACATTGTTTATTGTAATCAGTGCTTCGTTTTTTGTTATCACTTTTAATCAGCTTAACCATCTCAAGGCCAAGCGACCCGATGAAGGTTCACCATAAAATAGGGCGTGACAAAGTTGTCATTAAGATTCCCTATGCTCTTGTGTTTCCTTTCCATAATTACAGCACAGTTGTTTTCATTCCTTCGTGAAAGACAGTGCTCTCACATATTTCAATCTTTGTTAACCCACCTTAATAATGGAAGAAATGCATAAGAAACGTAAAGATCTAACCCTTAAAGAAAAAGTTGCCATTTTAGAATGCTATGATAAGTTACCAAAAATGAGGCAACGTAATGCAGCAGTGCACTTAAAAATTTACCAACGTTGAGATGGGAGCAAAACAGAATAAAAACCTAAACTGTAAGAGAAAGAGCAGTGGAAAAGATGACCAGGTCTAATCAGCATTAAAACTTTGGTTTACTAATGTTCTGTCAGACTGTTATTCAGACAGATCCAGAATTGAGAGATGAAGAAGAATATGAAGCTCAAACCCATAGAGCTGATAAACTTCCAATAAGTGCTAAAATGCGAGAGGCGCTTCAAATTTTGAGACTTGGCGTACATCACAGATCAGGCAAGTTTCATAAACAGTATGAATCTGAAAGTTTTATTACGGAATTGCTCTGAAAAAATAGTAGACAGTCAATTTTAAATGAATTTTTCCAATTATTGTTTTAATTGTTTTTAAATATGTCAATAGGCATTAAAATCCAGTTTTCACACTTTTATGTAATATGTTTGCTACCCTATATGAATAAACATTACTGTAACTGCTGAATTTTTATTTCATCAGTTAACAATATCATTTGGTTATTGTTATCAATGCAACTGTGTCCCGAAGTGATCACAATAAGCGGAATCCAGTGTATTTATTGATAAAGTTAGAAATATTTTATCATTTCATTGCATTGAAAAATGGTGGAATATGTATCATCTTGGGGCACCAGAACCATCAAACAAGACCCTGCAACAAGTCATACCCTAGCTATTGCAAGCAAAGTTGGTGAAAGAACTTAAAACATTTATTAATAAAGTTAGAAATGTTTTATAATTTCACTTAACAACAATTTCAATGGACCATACTGAAATGCTGTAATAAACCTTTATAACTTTCCACTATAATAAAAGTATGTTGTTGTTTTTTGTTTTTTTTAACAAACCTACCTTCAGTATAATTACATGCTGCAGTTAAAGCTCGACAATGATTTACAAGAGCTGATCTGGTTACTGTGACACCTTTCATGGAGTAATCTTTATCAACAGTATACTGGAAAAGAACATGAGAAAACTAATTGAGTATATTCTAAACTCACTAGGAAAAAACTTATTTTGTTTCTTTTATGGTCAGGAATGTTTTATCAAATAATAATGCTGATTAATGCACTTAAGAAATGGCTTTAAGTAGAAAACTTTCTTTATATTAATCCCAATAAATAATTCACATTTTTGTACAGTCAAACAATGATGATCTGGAAGAGATAAATTAATTTACTAGATATAAAAATAGTTCCTCAAGATTTAACATCTATAAACCTGAAGTCCATGTTAAAATCACCTTAAATTTTCAATAAAACAAATGTAAAGAAAGAAATAATTAAATGGAAGATCATCAAAAAACATTTGTAATAATAATATTTTGTGTACCTGCCCTAATACTAGCATTCTAACAGACACAAAATTTATAATTTCTTTGACCTTCGGTATATCTATGCTTCAAATAATTAGATATAAAGTGGAGCCTCATTATAATGCAGTAGTTGGAATCCACATCACTGAACCATGTTACGAGTTAGCTGCATGATATTGATGTCCTGTCCAACTGCCACATAAGGTGGGTCCATGATAAGTTCATTCACATCCCATTTGGTGATCATGTATGATTTTCTCTTCTTGGAATTGATGTTAGTAGCAGACATGATGATCATTGTTGAAATCATACAAGTACTGATGTTTTGCAACTGCTTGGGTGCTTCATTTATAGTGGCCTCAGAGACAGTCAATTAGAATAACCAAATTTCATTGGTCAATTAGTAAATTATCATAACCGAGTAGATACTAAAAAATTTTGATTAAACACTCTTAATTCACAATGATTAATTAACTTTTCGTTATACCTATAATTTTGGGGTCCATGGGGGATCTTCCTTATACTGAGACCTACGTTATAGCAATTTGCATTATAGCGAGACTCTGCTGTAAAATAATTATAAAACTCTGCATTTTATCAAAAATAATCATACTAACTATGGGTAATTCACAGATTTTAGCTTAAAGGGTATTATGCTTGTTTATAACACAGCCTGTAATTTTATAATTACTGGTGTGTCACAGTGGGTTACAGATCAGTTCTGATGTTAAGTTACTGTGAACAAACTTATCAACAATAACAAGTGAACCAGGTAGATATAATATGACAAGTAAAAGAAGAACCCACAAACAATTCATCAAGAATAAACAGTTGAAAATTAATTACAGTTTTACTGTCACTTTCTTTTTTAACCTAATACAATCCTAGATGTATATCTGAAATCTAAATACTTCAACTGGAAGAACAAATGTCACAAATGTTGGCAGCACTGCTATTGGACCCCCCCCCCCCCCACACACACACACTCTCCTTTCCATCCATTATATAAATGTATATATTCAACTGCTTGAAGAAACAGCTATATCAACATTTTTACAAAAACCACTGTTTTGAAACAAATGTGTAAGATATTTTCATTTTATGGTCCATTCATACAGTCTTCAAGACTTCCTTCACCAATCTCAATAACCAAAGCTATGCAGTTCACTTTTGAAACTGAGACTAACAACTCTTTACCATTCCTGAAAATCATGTGACAAAAATTAATCTCAAACAGTACTCACATGTACAGAAGGAATATACATGCTAACAAATACTTAAATCAAAAAACAAACCAATCAATTCTCTCTTACAAGAAAACCTAAAAACACAAATCAAGTTTCTTGTTTGCTCATTCACAACAGTTATCATAACAAATTAATCAAGGACACAGCTAAGTCTGTTATCAACAATATTTTTCCACCTTCCACATTTAAAGACAAGGATAAAACGATCACCTTATCATGTGTACCAAATATTGTGAAAAAATAAAACATCTGTTTGGAAAATACAATATAAAACTGTTTTCAAATCTCACCCTCTTCTTAGAAACATTCTTATGCAGGTCAAGAGAACCTTAACACAACTAAAAAATGTGGTAAATGACATTAAGTGTGAATACTTTAAACACTATACTGTAAAAACAAAGTGACCTGTTCATATCTCAAAGTCTGATCACCAAATAGATACCTGAAATGATAGTACAGATAATTCAATGATAGCCAAACATGCCAGGAAAACAAGTGTATTCTCAACTTTAAAAAAAAAACATTTTGGACAGGGATTTCAACAGGAAGTAAATTAAAGGCCATTTCCATTGTATCATACATACTTAGTGAATTATTAAAAAATAACAATAATATTGACATCTTAACCCTTAATTTCTGAGAATTTCACTGATCTGAAAGTATTTTGTTATACTTTATACAGTACTGTTTTCTTGGAAAATTAAATTAGTCCATAGCAGTTGTCATCTTTTAAATTTTCTCTACAATGATACCAGTCTAGTTAGGCCTAAACTAACCAACTTTATGCCTAATTAAGACTACAGCACAGGAGTTAAAAACTCAACAAATAATCCCTCAAATAACATATGAAAAAACGTTTGTGCATTTTATATATATAATCCCACATTCATTCCAAGTTTTAAAACTTATTTAAAGAGATTTCATGTTTTTTTTGCAGCAAGGTATAGCATAATATAACTGTTGTAGAGTCTTTGTTACGTTCCACCCAAGTTAACTCAAAAGTTAAAGTTTTTAAGAAGATATTTTTACGCACCTCTATATAACCAACAGCTTCTTCTGTTAACCTAGGAGGTGGCATCCAATCCTTAGGAGGCCTGCCAAGATTTTCAGTGATAAACCAGTGAAGTTTTGGCCAACCTGTCAATCACATAGATAAATTATTATGTACATCATTGGCTTTATCTACGTAATTGATCACTCAAATAAAGTTGTTTAAATTACACAAGAGGTTTAGTTAGTCCCCATTTTTATGATCAGGATTACACAGGTTCTGACAACAGTTTCTGGACTTAAGAAGCTTGTAGGTTCTGACAACCGTTTCTGAACTTAAGAAGCTTGTAGGTTCTGACAACCGTTTCTGAACTTAAGAAGCTTGTAGGTTCTGACAACCGTTTCTGAACTTAAGAAGCTTGTAGATTCTTGCCTATAAAATGCTTTTTTTTAGGAAAATTTTTTCCATGGAAAGAATTGAAAAATACAAAACAATAGTAACAATGATTTTATTTATACAAAATATCAAGCACTAATTAATTAGAAAAGAAGATTATAATATTTTATAATTCCATGGATAAAATATGCACATTCTTGGACAGAAACAGACCCAAAAGTGAGGTTGTCTTATAGATAGGTCTCTTCGAAGGTCAAGGCTGACAAGTAGGAGGTCATCTTAAGGAAGCCTAACAGGTGAGGATCTACAGTATTTATTAAAAATATGTAGAAGTATCTTTGTAAATGTTTGTGTATCATGTCTGTTAACGGAAATACATAACTGTTACATAGCTTTTGATAATTACCTAACACAACTATAATTCTCTAGTTTAAACATTTTATAAGTTTTAGTAACACTTTGAAAGAGATTTTATAATCGCAAGTGTTTTAGAATGAATTTTAGCTGGGTCTTATGGTAAGTTTCAATCATGATGTCAGAAAAATAGGTAGGTTCAAGAAGTCTTGATATAAAAATGATAAAAACCCTATAACCCAAGCACTTTTAAAAGGTGGACCTTTCTTCCTCAGGTGCAGACTGGGAATCAGTCAACATATTGTAAATGCTGAAACCTATCTTTTGTATATTTGTCTGATTTTGTGCAGATACTGTCTTCACTAGCTATTTCTAATTTTCAAGTAACAGACTATAGGGAAAGCAGCTAGTCAACATCGCACACTGCCAACACTTGGGTTACTACTGTCTGACCACAAAGTGGGGTTTGACCATCACTCCATTTATTTTATAATAAACCCACGGCTACAAAGTACAAAACTTCTTTTTGTTGTTGTTGATAATGGGACATGAACCACAGAACTAAAGCTCTATATTCTGATACATTAACCACTAGGCTGTGCTCAGCCCCTTATGGAGAAAACTGAAGCTTATTCTAAGTACCTGTAAGTTATGTTCTTCTAACTATATATAGATATATAACAAAAATAAAACATGCTTCTTTTGTACTTGGCTTGGTCAGTCTCTTGAAAAAACTGCCTGATCTAGATTGAAACATTTTTTTTACATCAAAGTATTTTTAATGTCTGCCATGATGCAACTTTACAACTTATGTAGCAAAATTGTTAGTTAATGTTAAGAGTTTCTCCAGATGCCAGATCTACAGTGTTAATGAATCGTACAGTAGTTCACTGCACGTACACAGTGTAAGCTAGTCTTCGAACAGAAAATAATTTATTTTGGACAATATATATATATCTAATTCATTTTTTTATTTGAGTATAATATTAGGCAATATGTTACAACAAGAAGTATAATTTAAAAATTAAAATTAGTTCAAATTACCTTTGAATGTGTGAATCTCTCCAGTAGCAGTCTTAGGTAGTCCTTTGTAACATGCTTCAGAAGTGAGAGCATAATTAATTCCACAATTACCTAGCAAAAACCCTATTTGTTGTGAATCAGCATCCTAGAAGAAATAATAAATAGTTAGAACTTTCTAAATTACTCATTTAAACCCATCTAATAGTTTGACCCTGTTTGTTTGCATGCTACAGGTTATTAACCTATTAACTGCAGCAGGATCAGCTCAGTTGCCATTTTCTGACTCACAGATAAAACTGAGTTGCCATCAATCACAATAAAACGGTAATTTTCGTCATTCGCATAGAGTTATAGTTATATATGTGTGTGACTGACGGATATTTCCGTCATTCACAACTGAGCCATAGAACTTCAGTGATGGAAATATCTGTCATCCACAGTTAATGGGTTAAGTTACTACACAGTTAATATTAAATAAAATGTAAACAAATATTAAAAGACTATTCTCTTGGTTAAATGTAATATTTTTTGATATACTAAGATTAATTTTTTTTAATACTAACAAAAAACAGAATACTCTAAAATAAGAAAGCATAATTTCAGTATACTTACTCTGATTCTTCTCTATAAAGAGATTTTTGGGACTACTTACAATTATATTACACAGTCCAGAATAATATTGTCATAGCATACCAACACCACAATTATCACAAAAGACTGACTATGGGTTGTTGATTTGTACAGAAATGCTATATGAAAATGTGTGGGAAATTTAGTTTTAGTTTTTCAGAAACTATACATGTTCTTGAACAGTATTCAAATGACCAATTTCTTTCTGGTTGAAAGATAGACAACTATCAACTGTTAGTGAAATTTTTATCCTTCAGCATTGATTGCAGCCTTTTTCGGGCTACAACTCAGTGATCTGAAAGATCAACATAAAAAAATAAAATAAAATATATTAGCATTAACAGCTGAAGGTGTCACTGAAACTGTTCAAACAACATTACCTGCAATTTTCTCGCTTCCACTAATATCTTTAATAATAATAATAATAATACATAAACATGAATTCATATTTCACACTTTAAAATCAAGTTGGTATAGTTTTATCCGAGCATGCAATAAGACTTGATTGTGAGATGACATATTCAAATATTTCATGACTTACACTAATCTTGAAGGCTTACACCAATAACATCAGATGCAATTATCAAAATTTACCCCTCCTTCTTATATTGTTACATAAGAAATAAAACTTGTTATATAATTATTCCATGGCCAGCAGCAGCAAAAGTTAGAAACAGAGTTGTAGTCTTGAAATGATAATCTTCAGGAGTACTTTCAACATTTCAAGGTCCAAAAAAAAACACAATAATTATATCATTCAAACTTATAATTTATCACCTTTATAAAGTTAAATAATCAGTTTCACTATTTCTTCTTCCACACTAGCTCTTATGTTAAGTTATATTTTATAATCTGCGATAATTATCAACATTATATCATCAGTATTTACCCTCCTCGTAAGGGGAACATCAACTGGAACTGGTACTACTCCCACAGTTAAGCATCCGTAGAATGCACACATGAAAGAAACTGGATCATTGTTAGGGTACACGAGTGCTACCTGTCAATAAAAATCATCGTTCAGCCATTAAAATAATTTCTTTCTTTAAGGATCAAAGAAGAACGAAAAAAAAGAAATAAAATGTCTTGACCATCTTGATCAAGTTCTTTTTCAACAATCAAATAAATTCTGATGTTTAAACTTCCTTCTATTATCACTGAAAGTTTTCCTTCCTGTACATTTCAAATAGAATCAAATACCTCATACCAAATGATACAGTAAAAGATGATTAATTTATTTAAAATGGGATGACTATCTGACAACAGTGAAGATCATTTAACCAGTTAACGAACTTATCTGCTATTTCGTGGGATAGTTACAGATAGTTTGCGACTGCCAGGCATAGCAGATATTTCTACATTCCCGTGCCTGTTTCCTTATTCGTCAGCTATAGAAAGTTTGGGCACTTCATCGTTGATCGGAGACTTAATTATGAAATAAACATCATCATTATACATTCTATTTTTATTGTTGGCTTATCCCTAAAGTAAAGTTTACTTTTATTCTTTATTCTAGTTAAATACAATTCTAATTTCATTTTGTTGTAATTAAACCACAATAAACTGTTCTATTGTTGCTCCGACTTCAACACATTATCATTTCTTTCATTAAATACAACTAACAAATCACTACACCCTTCTTCCCACATACTAAATACTCAAACGTAAAATTTTTGGAAAGATCGGGTGATTATGTGCTAGGTTTAACCTTGAGATTACCACAACAGTTTCCCTTTTATTTAGAATGAAGGCAAAATCTTGTCTTATGTGCTCATTCTTGTAATTTTATTTATAAAAGTACAAATATTATTTGTCTACAAACACAGAGAAAAATCTAAAGTAAATATTCTTAATTGCAACATTCAAATGAGTAACAATGTTTCCAATTCATATTTAAATAATAACCAAATATTCACTTTAATAAAAAGTGATGTGATTTAAAAAAAATACATCCAAAACCACCAAAAGTCATAAAACACTATAAAAATTATATTTGGTACAGCACCTGATTATGTAATGCTCAGCTATTATCCTTTATGATGGTTTACGTCAGAAACAAATAATCATAAAATTACAAAAACATAAGAGTAGAAAAAGCACACTATGGCAAACTACACAAAAAAGTCTGTCATACGAGGAAAGTACAATATTGCAGTAGACAACATTAACCTGATAATTATTATATTTCACAATTTAAAGGCTAACAATATCTTGAGCTAAGCTGGAAGTTTCAAAAAAAATTCTTGTCTTGTGATACGTTAATATACAACCTTATTATCCTACACAAATATAATGTCTTTTACCACAGATCAGTACCGGTGAGTACCAGCAGAATTTCAACCTTTCTCGCAGCCAACTTTTCTAAATGTACAACCATCTTTTCTCTTCCTTAGACACGAAAGTCATTGAAATATAATAAGTTGTCATTTGCTGTACAATGTTCTCCAAAAATAACCTCTTCTGTCATATAGCCATTAGCCTATAAAGTTGGTAAAAATATAATAATAATGTAAAAACTCACTCGATCTCCAGGTTTTATTCCAATTTCTCCTTTTGATCCTGCTTTGTTCAGAATGTTATAAGCTATTTTCTGTGTACGACTTAGCAATTTTCCTTACAAACAAATAGAGAAGAAAAAGAAATATTAATTCTTAGGATAAAAGAAAAACACTAACTGACAACATTAAGTTTAATAGATGGTATGAGAAAAATGAAAAGCACCTTTCTTTAAGGAAAAAAAAATATTTCAAAATAACACTAATATACATGTAATTTGAGAAAAATTCATCCATACAACTGCCAGTTTTCATAATGTTTTATGACAACAGTGACATTTACCCAACAATAATTATTCAAAATACTGTAACATACACAAGGTCAGCATTTTTACAACAGTGATACTTAATAACAAATCTTACAGTTTTTGGAATGTTGAATGGATGGACATAATCATTTTCATAACATCGTTTAAAAATAAAACTACTAGTACTGTGACATTTTAAATCAAAACTACTAATACTGTGACATTTTAAAATAAAACTACTAGTACCGTGACATTTTAAAATAAAACTACTAGTACTGTGACATTTTAAAATAAAACTACTAGTACTGTGACATTTTAAAATAAAACTACTAGTACTGTGACATTTTAAAATAAAACTACTAGTATACCTCTGGACAGCTTCTTCTAAGGTTATAGGAAGACCTGAAGGTACCTGTAAAGTTATACATTATGGATCTTAATTATCTTTTAAGAACAAAAAACATAATATATTTTCAGGGAATATTGAAGTACTAAAACAATTACTATATTTAAATGTACTTCTGATATATATATATGTTGTAAAAAGTTAATTACATTTCTCAAGGTATAAGCTTTACAATTTACAACTTTCAAAACCTACTGTATAAAATATCTATAAATTATATTTATAAATTCATTTCTCTGCAATGTGACTAAGTTTTATATAAATATTCATTTTCCTCTAATACAGTGACGTCGTTTGAAGTTAAGCACAAAGCTACACAATGGGCTATCTGTGCTCTGCCCACCATGGGTAGTGAAACCCAGTTTCTAGCATTGTAAGTCCGCAGACATCTAATACAGTGAATATAAGAAGTGTGAATTTCAGACTAGACTAACAAACAAGCTGATATATTAAAATTAAAGTCTGTACGTAAGGGTTAAACATTTATTATATTATAACTTATGACATATAAAGCTTTACACACGGTTTTAGGTTACCAAAAGACATATTATTCATGAAATACGGGAAGACAACAATCTTCCAAAATAATGTTGAAATGGATAAACATGTTAGCTCATCAAAGAGACAAACCTGTCCATGTTTTGGGGTCAGATCTACTATAGTATAGAAGCACATTATGCTAATATAATAATAAGTTGGCAAACAACGATTTATAAGTATAATGAAGTGATTTATTTTTGAGAAAGCATACTAGATGTTTCGATAGAACATTGGTCTCTCTTCTACAAGTATCCCCCAAAGAGAAATCACTTCATTAAGCTAATAAATCAATCTTTATCAACTTGTTATTATAAGCTACAAGTGTTAGGTAATAAATTAAGGAGATGGGTACATCCATGGAAACTAATGATACTAAGTTTTATTTTTAGAATTGAAAACAAATTGAAACAGATACTTAATTCTGAAATACTTAAGCCTTTTCTTGTTGAGTTTTTCTCATTCTGTCAACAACCACGTGACTTTAGGTTTGAATGTCTTTGACACCATGCATTGCATGTGTTACCTTATTCAAAGTTCTCTACTCTTCAACCTTCCATGTGACTTTTTCTTGTCACCCAATGTTGTTGTGGTCTACACATGTTATTTTTACTGTCCCAAAGCTTGGCACCTGGTGTCAGGGAAACTACATAAGTCTGTTTTCCTGCAACAAGCCAGATGCCAGACTTGATTATTTGTACTCGTGACGTTGAAAAACGTACGTCTTAGTTGTGGGGAGGTGGATGTCAAAGTATTTCAGATGCAACTGCCCAACTGAAATTAATTTTAATTCTAAAAATGTCACATTCAAATCAGGTAGACTTACCCCTGAAAAGGAAAGGATCAAAACAACATTAAGTGGCAAGAAAAAGTACAACCTGAGCATAATCCACAACCAGAGCGAGGAAGTTACTGTCGAGTGAATGGATATGACTGGTAAAAGTCTTCACTACTCAACAGAAAACTTATAGAACCAAAGCAAGGCCAAATGAAATGGCAGTGAACTGATAAACTACCTTCTGATGGAAAAAAAAAAGTAAAAAATAGCAATATGACAAATGAATCAGGATATGAAGACAAGCATCTTGGATACCCACCTTTGTCACTGAATGTCCATACCGAAGTAAGTTTCATGACATCCTCATATTTTCTACTTTGAAATGGGAAATCTCAAGAAATGATCAAGATGATATAGATCTATCACAGGTCTCTAATATCCAAATTTTTTCAGAACTATGAAAAGGCAGTAGTGAAAATACAGAGACACATGTTGAACAATTTCAATGGTTCTTGTCGTAAGAGATCCAAGACAAAATTTGTCCAGTAAGTCAAACAAAAGGTGGAAGAGCGGAGAATTCTTAGTGAAGCGACAATGATTTAAGGAACAAAAAGTCATATGGTTGTTGACAGAGCAAAAGGTTTACAACATTTGAACTCACAACCCGCAGATTGTGAGTCAAGCTCTCTAGCCACCAGGCAATGTCCCATGGGTTGCATATTCCTGATATTTAAATAACTGTTATTCATAGCATTGCTAGCGAGTCAAGTTTCTGTCTTTATTGTAAACTAAAACCTATATATAGATAATTACATTATAAATACCTGAAATAATTATAACCAAGTAAAAGATTAGAAGCCTAGACATTTTATATTACTAACCTTTGAACATAGCTGCAGTGTAGACGTAAATTATCATTTTTACTATAAACACCTACAAATACTATTTACCATTAGCTGCTCTCCTAAATGAGGTGTCATGGTGCTTCCTTCTGATTGAGGTGAGTTGGGATCTACTTGGTTAGCTGCAACTATATAGTGTCACAAATTTTACACCAATAATGCTTGACAGAAATCTCGTTACAAACATTCAATGTCACTCTTTTTCTCTTTTTGATACTTTGTCCTTTCCTATTGTGTTAATTAAAGCTTCAAACTAATGATATGGACAATCTAGTATTACATTAAGTACCAGTAGCAGAAAGTACAGGTATATTATACTAGCAGAGAACCCGGCATTGCTCGAATGAAAATGGCTTTAAACATCCTGAATTATTTTGATTAAATCAACCATATCAGTTGTGATTTTTTGCAAAAAAATCAAAATGATTTCTTTACCAAATTAAATATTTCGATTAAAATCAATAAAAATAACAATGTGCAAAAAAAAAAAAAAAAAAATTAGCTAAAGCTATTTTAATCAAAGCAAAACCAGATACATAGTTCCTGCTTCTTGCAAGACATTTCAAGTTTCTATAGCAAAATTGCCTACCTTCTGGTGTCCTGATTTCTGCTGTGTTTGCAGGGTATTCTGATTTTATTATCGTTCCACTTAATGAACAATTGATTAATGCAAGCAGAACAAAAGATATGGTTGAAGCAAGCCTATTTAGTTGAGAGAGTGTGTCATTTAATGAACAACTGATTTATTCTCTTCTTATTGCAAAACAATGTTGAGGTAAATTTGCCGACACCAAACGTTTTTGTAAAGTCATCGTATAGCTGATTCTTGTGAGTACGTGCAAGCATAACAAAAGATATGGTTGAAGCAAGCCTATTTAGTTGAGAGAGTGTGTCTGCGTGTTCAAGAGAAAACATCACCTTTTTTCGGTTAAGGGGAGTTAGAGAGTACACGTGTATCTGTAGAAGAAAAAGGGACGAAGGGAGGGGGGGAAAGAGCACAAATGAATGCTCCACAAAGTTTTTACATTATAACTGATCATGGATAGAATGATTAGGAGAAGTCCTCACACAGAGAAGAAATGTAAATAAGAACCCAAAAAATCTGGTGTTTTTTTTAATTTCAGACCAATTGGTCTTCCTTTTTGACAAAAGTCATTTTGGTCCCTATTTGTGGGCTGAAAACGGCCTCCGAGGTCATGGCCATATAGCCCATGCTACTTCCCGCATAAAGCTGTATTTGAACGCAGAGTTTGAAGTTTGTAGCTATAAAGATGTGGCCGAGCATAAGGAACAGACCCACAGAGAGATAGACGTTCACGCTTATATATATATATATATTACTATAAATTGGTCAGCAACAAATTTCTAAGTCTACAACACTGTAAAAACAAAACTGTCCACAGAGCTATTTGACACAGTTTAGTATACATATGTTTTTATATGCAGTATCAAGACTTTCATTAATATTGTATTTTCCTTTTCTAAGGTTGTTTACAGTATTTCATATATTTTACTTAATATTTCTGACCATCTATTTAAAAATTTTTCATTCAATACTCCCCAAGGCAGTAAGTAAAACCATATGTACATTCTCAACTCAAACCTTTTCTTCAAAAGTTGATACCTATTCTAACTGCTTGAAAAGACTGTTTAAACTCTGAGAATAGAAATTTTACAAAACAAGCTGTAAATCTTTGTTAGTTTGGGAAGTATTTACAATTATACAAGCTTGATAAAGACCTGTAACATATTGTTACGACAGCAGGGGTCACATGACGCTAGTAACACGTCATATTCTCGAACATTCACGTCCCTTCCTGAAGTCTCAGGAGGTTACTAGATATGCGGTATTCTTGTAGATATATATATACGACCGGTAAGAACTGAAGGCAACAATGTAATTGAACTGCAGACAGAGATTGACGATTGAGTCGAGCACGTGAGTTGTTCGTTGTGAGTTATAGCATGACTGTGGAAATTAAGTGTATTGCAAAGTTGTATTCAGAAAGAATAAACCAATTTTATTTAAGAAAGGACTTGTATCGGTAAAGTTTCTTCGGAAAGAATTTTTACGGAAAATTAAATAACGACCAGAGACGTAACAATATCTTTTACAATAGGCAATGTTTGAATAATTTGTAACAACTGATTTGTGGTTCCTTGCTTGCTTCAAACAAGTTTCAGGAAGAAGAAGACATTTCTCTAATATACAGTAATGACATCACACATACAAGTTCCTTCATTCAAAGTAACACAAAGAATGAAAATCAAATTTTTATACTAAGAATGTTTTAAACTACGCATGTTAAATGTTTTCCCCGATAAATATAAAACAACAGCAAGAAGACAGAAACATGCTATATAAAACATCAATTCTATTCATTTGATAAATGTAAATCAGAAACACATGACAATGGTTAAATTCACAGTATGTTTAAACATTTTAAATCATGAAACAAAACTAATATCATGAACATGTGAATAAAAAAAGAAGATATATATTAGGACTTATCTTAAAATTCATATCAGAAGACAGCTGTAAAGATTAATGATGAAAATGGTACATATTAAAACATATTGAACTAAGCTTGCCTAATTAATATCACCTTTAAGTCAATTATTAACCTTTGATTTAGTGTCATCTTTGTGGTTGTCTCTTCTAGATTTCTGTTGAGCATTATTTAATCACATATTTGGCAAAAAATACAGAAAAATATATTACTATTTCTTAGCAGCATTCTGAATTGGTTTCACAACAAGTTTACTCACTTTCTAAGTCTGTTTCATCATCAACATAAAACTCTGGTAAAGGTCTTCTCTTCGGACGCTAAAGATGGTAGAAATTATATCAATTAATTTCCAAATTACAAAAAAAATAATAATCATTAAGAATTAATGATTATCCTTCCCACGTTTTTCATTCTTTAAGTTAGGGTTAGAGATTCCAAACAGTTAAATTATTTCAGAGTACAAAAAAAAACTTGAAATTAGGAATTAGTTTGAATTCATTTATTTTACCATTCCAAACAAAAACTGTGATTTCACAAATGTGGATACATATACATCCTTTTCAACATTCACAAACACAAAGAAAAACGTTTTTTTGTTACCTTTAATGTGTTGAGTAGTTGTTGAATTTTAGATGATACTTTCCATTTTCCAGTTCCTAAAGAGGACCAACATTACAATATTTATGTCATTCTACAAAAACATACTGGAAATTTCCTAACCAAATAAAAATTTAAATGGGTAAGTTACAAAAATTACATATGGATGGGATACTTAAATACAAGTATAGAAGAAAAATATGTTTTTAATACTGAATTTTTAAAATAATATAAAATATTAGACATTCTGGGAATTATCAGTGGTTATATTTAGTTGATATATATATATATAATTGCTCCATATTAATACATAAATAACCAGTTTATCATAACCAGTGGCAATAAAAAAAGTAAATAAAAACCTTTCTTTTTGGTGTTACATTATACATACAGTTACCTGTTACTTACTTAATTTATTCTAAAGCTTAGAAATTTATTTCTGGAATACAGCATGCTCAGTGGCAAAAAATATTTAACATTGATTCCTTCTATACTGTTTATTTTATTCAGTTGTGAGCTGCATATCAATTATTAATAAATGTAATAAAAATACATATAGTAGTATGTATTCCCTTTATCTTGTATATCACAACAAATCAGCTTAAAATTAACTTAACAAAGCTCTATGTACGATCAGATAATAGAGTTATTTAACAGGTACTGTTAATTACATGTTACGTGTAATGAGCTCAATACCTGTGTTGTACTTTAATCCTGCTGCTGAGTGTTGTGTTACTCGTACAGAAGACATATGAGCTTGATTGTATCTGTGGAATTGTTCTCCCTGATGTTGAATCCCCGTGTTGCTTGTGAGATCTGGTTGAGTCCTCAAGTCTACAATAAACAACATTTGTTTTTATAAGATCTAGATAAAGTAACGTCATTGATGACTACCCAAAATCCGAATAAAATTTTAAACAAAGATTACATAAAAATGCATTAAGCTCATTGAAAAACACTTACATGAGTCATACACTTTAAGTTATGTTTACAGTTCATTTAAAAAAATACACATTTAAAACTTTTAGCCTACACACACCTACAGTAGATTAAACTGTTACTTAATGAATTATATACATCTTAATCTCAATCTGAGAATTTGACTTCTTATATACAGATGTAAATAATAATAATTATAATAAAAACAAACATTCCTAAAGCATATGTCTTAAAATTTATGTCCAGGTTTGCTTACATTAAAAAGTTACATGATATTTTTGAATTAGTATTTATTTGAAATGGATATCTGAAACTGCAATGCTACATTATGCAACACACACATATTTATTAAGTTAACAATTTATATAAAACAAACTATAATGCTACATTATGTGACACATTTATTCATTAAGCTAACAATTTACATAAAATAAACTACAATGCTACATTACGTGACACATTTATTTATTAAGTTAACAATTTATTTAAAACAATCTGAGGTATCCATACTTTTTATGGGTTATAAAGTTAAAAAAATGTGGGGGGGAGTAGATGTTATAATAAATAGCACAAAAATCCTAACTTTCACACAATTTATTTATAACATATTATTACAGTATTCATTATTACCTCACTAAAAGTTTAATATAAGATTTAGGAACTAAATAAGTACACTCAAAACACGATATACACTGCTGTGCGATGGTCAGGTTGACTTTGTAGGAAGAGGGTAGTGGCCAAAGTAGAGGTGGTAAGTGTGCTTTCTGTTACCCATTTTCAACAACCAGCTCTTAATGTCTTTCTACAGTATTTTACATAATTAGTTAATTGACAGTCATTGAAAAAAAAGAGCTCTACAAAATCATTTACGTATGTAAAGTGTAATACTAAAGTATAAAGTAATCAACTCAGGATAGATTTAACAAACATAACTTACAATTAACAGAACACTATTATTTATTTACTCACGAGGCGTAAGGTTCTGCATCACATCTGCTAAGTTTGTCATACCCTCATTAAGACTTTTACTATGTTCAAACCCAAAATCTCCACGACTGCTACTACTACCACCACTGTCGAGGCGACTGTCTGTCTGGTTAGGAGGAGTTTCTATATTTGAAGATGTACTAGATGTATCAGATTGGACTCCATAGGCTTGATGGAAAGTTTGTGAGGAACTTTCCTGTTCTGGAGTGCTATCTTCATTCAGGACACTGTCTTCATCTGATGATGAGTCTATACAAATTGAATTTATAACTGCATTGAATAAATTTTTTCCTCTAAAACATATCTAGGTTTTTAAATGTTCATAGGCAGATCAGTATTACTGAATATTATGTTTCAAACTAGCAAAGGTTTTACATAAAACATTGAGACATTAGTAGTCTACAAACTTTTGCCTGAGTCCACACATAAATAAATAAATTTATGCCTTGTTACATACAGGTACAATGTACATAACAGGTTTTAATGTTATGTTACTAATTTACAAAAGTTTAAAATTCCAGTTCATTTATTTAATAATCTTAGCACAGTACCATTACCCATAAGCCAATTTGTGCACTGTATAAAACTAGATAAAATTTACAGTTATTACTCAGACAGAAGTCTTGGTAAATCAGTTCAACCTTGTATAAAACTTTAAACAATTCAAGTTGAGGCCCACATGCAGATAGTGAAGTATACACTAAATTTATTTTCCTGTTTCTTTCTGTTTATATGCATGATTAAGGAGAAAATTGTGGTTGAAACTATATAAAAAAGTTGAACTGATTTTCAAGAGCAGCACACAAACACAAGAACAAATATCAACATTACAAAAAGTGATCAACCTTACAAGTTAGATGAAGACTGTATTCATCATTATGGTGTTCAGAGAAATTTAGATAATTATACAGTTTGTACTCAATCAAACTCGTATTTTCCAGTCAGTCCAACATGTCTTATGATAATACTCAGTTTTGTCTGTCCTGAAAATTCAGGCACACCTTATTACATAAATACACATGTGCATGCACTTCATTTCAATGGAGTAAATATACTATAGTAGATATTCTGTACAACATATTAAAAGCTTATCAAAGTTTTTAAAATGTTCTAACATTATAAGTTTATATATTGATAGTGTTAAGTATGGTAAAGTTTAGCTCTAACTAAAATAAAGCAAAAAACATACAAAAATTACAGTGTTCATTTATTTCTAAATTGAATATAGGCTGTACCTAATAAAAGCTTAACTAATGTTAGTCCTAAGACGAGTAAACTTACAGATTTCAGTGTCCGTGATTAGAATTCGTTTGTATTATTCTAGAAACCCTGTATTTAAAAAAGTACTGTTGCAATAAAGATATTGATCTGACCACCAATTTTTTGCAGGTCTGTGCTAGTTACATTTAATTTACTGTTTAACACATTAAGATCAAAAGGAGCTACAGTTCTTCCAAATAAGTAATGTTTATAAATAAATGAAGTGAAAGAAAAAAACTAGACTCAATAAGATTAACCATTGTGTTTTAATGGCAATCTACAACATGTTTAAGTTGCCAACAAAATAACCTTAGAACTTGAAAACAATATATAGCCAACATACCATAGTTCTTAGGCTAAATGTTTCTACATGAAGTATAAGGGTTAAAAGTGGTATAATAAAAGCATTACCATCATATCTCAACACAATGAAATACAGTTGTTTGTAACAACAGTTATAAAAGATTGAGAATTAAGTTTCAGTTACAGACAAACATGAAACTTGTTAATGTTTACATGTCTTAATGAAAACTGGAAACTCAACTTCTAAAGGTTAAGATTTAAGGAATGCATATGGTGACATAACTGCCCTGAAAGACTCAAATAGCATCATACAAGTTCAAATGTAACCCAGTGACAAATACTCATATTCTGCTTCAAAAGTTTAATACATAAAAGCAAGTATCATATCACATGAAAACTTCTCTGCTTTTCAAACAAGATCAAACACAATCTTAATTATACATATGTTTCACAAAAAAAGGATTTCCGTACGAACTTATAGAACTTTGTCGTGGCATTATATACCATCAAATACTACATAAAGAAAAATAAAAAATAAATTCACACTTTTATTCAGTTTAAACATACTAATGAAATTAACTATTACTAATACCAAGAAATATTTTATAAGGAATTTTTTATGCTTTGGGTATTCGAAATGGAGCTGAAAATTTGATTACAAAAAAAAACTTTTGAAATATACAGTAATAAGTATAAATACATAAGCTTATTACTATGTAATTTATAAAACAATGGCTTTGTACCTATTGATGTTATAATATGTACATTGAATATCAGTGATGTATCTGCTTATTATAAAAATCAGTGCTAAAAAAAGAACAGGAGCTCAAAAATACAACATTTTTTGCATCTCCGCAAACTCCTGCTAGGAAATCTGGGGAGCTCCGTATAGACATAGTGGCATGAGAGGCAAAAATCAAGCAGAAACAAAGTTCGAAGCACCCAGCATCACAACAAATATATTTTTGGCATGTTATACAAACAAATTTTTGTCCCAAAAGTAATCAATTTAAGTGACAATATAAACATTTGAAAAATGTTGTTTAAACTTTCAACTATTCTATTATACTAATATACTGATATAATGGAATATTAATACAAATTAATTGAGATGCAACATATCACAAAATAGTAAAGCAGGAGTGTGCATTCATGTTAGTATTCTAATTACTATTTGTATTAAGTTGGTAAGTAACTAACTTCATAAATATACATTTAAATTTATAATACTTTTTTAATTTAAAATTATTATAAGCCTTTTTTTGTAAGTAAAAATTAGATGTATAACCTGAACAATTTCAATAAATTTATTAAATTGTATATCATATCTAGACTAATTTTAAATATTATTGCTGAAAAAAATGAAGCGTAGCTGAGCTCCACAATTAAAATAGGCCTGGCAAAAAAAAAATGTTTTTTTTCTCACTCAGAATTAATGTTAATTTCCAATTGTTATTTCAAAACATTTTCATTAATAAGGAAAATTTAAAGTTATTGTAAATCTTAGAATTGTAAAACCAGACCAATTTCTCCACTATCAATATACCTGTTATATTGAGAAAAATTATATACAACAACTTAGATAATCATCCTTATCTCAGAAAAACTTTCCACATACCAAAAGAGTAAATACAAGGGCAGCTCAGCAGTAAAACAATAAAAAAATATAAAGTTAAGCATAACACTGAGGGTTAAGTATATTATATTAAAGTGATAAATGACTTTTTAATAAGAAAATCAGCAAGTCTTATGACAAATGCAGCTGATATAAAAATTCAGTGGAATAGCATATATCAGAACTACATCTTGACATTTCATAGGTAGTGTGATGCCGCTGTAAACTGACCACTTTTGGGAAGGGCATGCAACAGCCTTTTCCAACACAAAACATTCATACACTTATATCTTAAAGAGGTATTCAGGGTGGGGATTTAGAATGTCAAAAATGGGGCACCCATTGTTCTTAATGGCATTAGAAAACAAAAAATATGGATAAACTTGGGGCATAAGAACCATCCAGAAAGAGACCTGCAACAAGTTGCACCCAGCCATGATAATCAAAGTGTGGCATCTTGTAAAAGTGAGAATCCACAAAGATCAGTGGAAAAAGCAGTCCACGTATCCCAGACAACAGTATGGAACATCATCAAGAAAGATCTCCATCTGGAAAAGTGACAAATCACGGGTACACAAGATGCTTCTACAACATATCCACATACCTCAAGAAGATGAAGAAAGAAATGGAAATTCATGCTACTCCATAAAAAAACACCAGTAAAGTCACTGGATTCCTGCGTAATCAAACTACTGAATTAAACACCGGGAAACCATCACCCTTGTACAGTAAATGGAGTATGAAGATGCAGGCAGTAGTATTGTGCTTTTGACATGACAGCCTTTTGCAATGAAAACTATGCTGCAACACTACTGCCAATATGTACAGTCATCAGACAGAGCAAGGCTGGATGTGGTGACATGAACTGTAACGATATGGTGAGGCTCCATAAATCATTTAAATATAATAAAACTCAAGCTCTGTAGTTAGACATTATGGTTGATAGACTTATTATATACAACACAGAAATATTTGTCATCAGGTCTGTTAATGAAAAAGAAACTCAAAAATATTACAATTTATAGACATTCAAAACTGGAATAAAAAGATCAACATAATTTCTTTTCAGGCACATTGAGAGTAAAAAACTGATAGTTTTGGGCACAAAGAATGGTTAACATTTTATTATTAGTTACAGCTGACTAGTTTCAGTAACTATTGGTAATTGTGTTACTGAAATTAGTCAGCTGTAACTAATAATAAGGATTTTGCCTTTCGTTGTGCCCAAAAAATGACACTTTTTGTATTTTTCACTCTTAAAAAATAAACAGATAAAAAAACAGTACACTAACTCCTATCTGGCAGTATGAAGACTTAACAAAATTTTATTCTTACTCGATCTAAAATATTTTAAATTAATTTAGCAACAACCAGGTAATAAGAATTACATATTTAAAGTACAATCAATCACCTACTTAATCTAATTAAATGTTTGATGAATAAATCACTATAAATGACATACACAACCAACCTAATAGACGTCTTTCTCTAGAAGGAGATGTGGCCATTACAGAGGTTCGTTTGGAGGGCATTAGAACTGATGGTTTACCTCTATTCTGCATAGCAGCCAAGGCCTGCTGAACAGCCTCTTGTCTAACTTCTGAAAGAAAAAGAATTATCCAATTATCATTCACCAACAAATACCTAATTTAAGTTTTCAAATAATATTAGCAATAACTAATAAATACAAGATTGGTTAATAAAACGGCATGAGAAAGAGTATGTTGTGAATGTTTCAGTCAAGCACCATTCACCAAGATTATAAATGAGGAAAGAGTATTACATCAAGATATTCATTAAACTTCTAGATTGCCGAGAACCAGAAGGAAGTGCTAAGAAGAAGAGGTGGAAATTTAAGCAGCAGAACAGCAACAGTGAGAATAATAAAGCATGCCAATTACAGAAGAAATTAATCTCCGAGAAAAATACATAAACAAGAGGAAATCCTCAATAGCCACGGCTGTAATTAGATCTCAAATTGATCAAGAGATGGAACTATGAGCCACTGTGCCACAGCTAAAAAACATTTTGCTACATAATAACCAATGATTGTCAAAAAAAAAAGAAAAGCTAGAAGATAAGACTTTTCTTGTGTTCACGGATGACAGTATCAGCTTTATAAAGCAGTAAAGGTTTCTATTTAGCCTACGGGTAACAGAAACTGCCTTTGTTGTAGTTTGATCTTAGTATCTTTACTTACCAGAAACACGAGGACGATTATCTGAAAGCAACTCATATCAAACTCTATTGATGATCATTCTATCACACCTTTTAAGATCTCAATTCTAAAAAAATCAGCTTCCTTTATTAAACTTCTGATTACTTGTTCCTTATACAGCAAGCTTCAACTTCATCCTCTTCCATAAATACCGTATTTTTCGGTGTATAAGACAAA